CTAACCACTGCGCCAGCGACACACACTTTATAATGGATATAGCCTAATGATGATGGTTGCGAATTACTCCTCTCCACTAGTCGTTTGTGTGAATGGTGGTTAGTGCCTGAGAGGATTTTTCAATTTTTGTATTATTGGTACTATTCAAAACACCACCACTTCTGTTTTTTTGGTGGGGGAGGATGAGTCCTACTAACACTATTCGTAGATTTATACAATCACAGTCCCACCACCCACATGGTTTTCTCTTCTCCTACCACGACAACCATGCACATGGTCTGGGGTTCGATCCCCGGCCGACGCACACCTGATATCAATGGTCGGCCTACTACATTTGGGCTACTGATATCACATGTTGAAAATTCCATACTTGTACCAAAATAATGTGTGGAATCAAGCTATAATAAAATTTTCAAAAATAAGAATCTGTTTCGTCAAACTGATTCCATTCATCGTTTATGAGGAGGCAATTTCCCCAGGCTGATGTGCTGATACCAGTGCACTGTGTTGACATTTTAGTATTCTATGTTTCCCCGCAGCTGTAGCAGATACTGCTGGTTGTCCAAGTAGCCAATTGTGGCATATACACGCAAATACTTTAACAGATCAGTTTCGGTTTCGATAAGAAAGTATCTAAAACAACTCACCATATAATGTACAACTTACTAGCAACTCTAACGGACTTTATGATATAATAGAGTAATTGCATCTGAATGCATAATCAATCATCGAATAGCCCGGCAATACATCTGACGAGTCATTATCCCCCTCCATATATGCATATATGATTATTTGGTGGTTCGAGCAAATTTTAATTGTGTGGTGCCTATTTTTTACAATTGCTCAAAATTGTATTCTGTGTTCACTTACATCACTTCATGCATTTGAGAAAATGTTTATACTTCGAGGTCCTTAAACTTGAGCCCTCCCTTGAAAGTTTTGAAGACCCCAAACAATTTGCCTATAGACAGGGTAGGAGCACTTTAGGCGCTTCAGCCGTCCTACAAAACACTATTGTCTCATCATTGGAAAAAGGTGCCAAATACATCCACTGCACGTTTCTCGACTTCACTTCTGCTTTCGACTCTGTACCTGAATGTCTCTTGCTAAATAAGCTCTCGATGACACAAAATGAGTCCTGGGTCACAAACTGGTTGCATTCCTATTTCTCAGACAGAATGCAGCACACTGTATATAAAGGTAAATCCTCGTCTGCTATGCTCACTGAAGTTGGTGTCCCCCAAGGTGCTGTACTCTCCCCACTTCTCTTTTCTTCCTTTCTCTCTACATGACTTACCATCTTCAAATGAAACTAATTTTGTTAAATATGCTGACGATCTGACTGTATCTTTGACTGTCGAGTGTCAAAGTGACTGCTCCAAACTAAATGGTTTTTTATCAGAAATCAGCCAGTGGTCCAAGGAAAACGGTCTCACCTCCTTAAATACCTCTAAATGTCAAACAGTCAATTTTACCTCTACGCACAAATCTGACCTAACCAAACTGATTAGCGCTCACGAGGTGTGCAACACAGATGGCACTGAAATACAGACCAAGTCAGTAATAGAATATCTTGGCATCATTCTATCGGCTGAACTTTCCTGGTCGTTTCATATCTTGATGATTTCTAAGAAAATATTCTGTCTTACCTTTTGCATCGAGAAGTTAAGACATTCTGGAATAACCCAACCGTTACTCTTACGATTCTTTAACTCTTACATCCTGCCCATTATTCTCTTTTGTACCCCCTTAGTTTTTCCAGGGCTACTGAAGAAGGACTATATCTTATTACGTAGGGTGTTAAAGGTTGTCAGCAGGGTAAGCAACGTGCCGTTTAACCAGGTTGTTAATATTCTGATTGACAGGCACTTAGACTCATGTGAAAAATGGGCTAAATCCATTCTATCTAACTCACACCACCCTCTTCATTCACAACTCTCCCCTTGTATCTCATCAGGCAGGCAGGAAACTATATGCTCGCACTAGCAAGTACAAAACTCAACCATACCCTACTTAGCTCGTGTTCTGTTCGATAAAGAACGCATTAGGCGTGATACCTGTAACTTGTTAAATAGTCAGTAGAACAACTGGATCTCGTTTTTCCAACTCATCATTTGTGAGTACAACGTTTTCTTTATTTTCCTTTTCTCTCTTTTTTTGTTATGTGGTGTTTTGTTTCTTTCTTCCTTACAAACTCTACTTAAAACATTCTTCTTCGTTCTTTCACTCTGTATATCTCGACCTTTGTGTTACCGCTTACGCCAGTAAACATGCTAGTATCTACTTTTCTAACACCTTCAAACATTCTGTTCAATTTTGGCTTTGCTACAGACATGCTAATATGTTGTCAAAATTAACTGAGATTACCCCTAATCTATGTAGAATTTTATTTATTGATAATGTACCAACTGGATGTAATACTGTAGCAAAATGCTCAGAATTCCATTCTGTATCACAAGTACTATTATTATTATTATTTCCGAAGTCTGTTTGGTTGTACCGTTGATTGACCTGTCCTGACTTGGAATCTTATCATTGAGAAGTGGCCATTTTGAAGCAGTATTCATGTCAGTTCATTATTGCAACGTCAGAACCTCTACATGTTTTAAAAATAACGATCTTATAATTGTTTCACAGGATTTTTTCAACACTAGTCCATGCTTTTTAGTAAAAATCTTCGACAACACACAGAAGGAGATGTGATACTCTCCTGCAGTATTTTCCCCTGAAACCTAACATTTTCCTAATCCTGTTCAATGGGTTTCATATCCCACAGTGGATTGTATATATACTCAAATTGTGTTTCTGTATCAATTCTACTAGTAAAGGAATTTCCTATAAGATATCTGAATCCTAGAAAGAGAGAGCTTCAGTTCCCTTTCTGCTTAGTTTTACGTCCAACAAATTTTATGTATTCAAGTGTTGGTTTGTAGGGATTTGATTGGTTTCATCATGAGCTGAAATTAGTTAGAGAACCATTGGAAAACCTGGGAGTACTGGACAGATGTTTCGTCCTAGTTTGGCACCCTTCAGCAGCAGTCGTGACCAGTAGGGTGCAGCTGGTCGGGTGTGAGGACAAATACTCGCCGAAGACATTGGCTAGCGGTTGCGCTATGTCGTGAATTGGCAGAAGTTAGAATTCAAGGACCATTGGATCGGGTTCCAGTGGCTTAATGGTATACGAGCTCGCCTTGTAACCGGAAGGTCCTGGGTTTGAATCCCGGTGGGTGCGTACTGCTGAAGAGTCCCAAACTAGGACGAAACATCTGTCCAGTACTCCCAGGTTTTCCAGTGGTTCTGTAACTAATGTCAGCTCATGATGAAATCCTGAGAAATTTTATATATATTTGGGGGAGGGCCTGTGCAAAATTCTCCATGTGGTTTCTCTACCCCTACTTAAGATTTCCTGAGTTTCTTTCCACATGAATTCATCGTTTGTAATTGTAAGTTTTGCATTAAGTGATGAATAAACTTTATCCGATACACCGAATTGAAACTTTCCAGTAGACTGTTGAATTTTGACTAGATATGACCTCAAGGTGGTGATGTATTTTCTGAGATTAATCAATATGAGATTTCGTAACCCTATATAGCTTGTTTGGGATGTACGGACAGTTGAACAGAGAGTCTACAGAATAAAACAAGCTCGTATTATCCTGCAACTGCAAATATGTGTGTTTATCCTTTCTTTATTCAAACTAATTAAAAGGAACCGGTTGTAGGAAGTTCCTCTTTTTATATATATTCAGGGATTTCCAACAACCAACACTGTTGTAAGAAATACAAAACGGATTCAATATATGACAATAAACAACCTTAATTTCAATTGTATATATGTATTACTGGGCCTAACAAACAGTCATAATAATGGCTATCCCTCATACATTTTAGAAAAACACATAATAACCCAAAACCGAAAAAGAACACCCTATGTCTGTGCCCAAGACAATGCCATACATGAATATGGCATTCAAAGGCGACCTCCTGGCCGACACTTAAGAGAGGAGAATATCTAAAGCCTTGAAAAAAACCCTCTGCTGCGAAATTACGATTGGTATTCACAAGCGGGCCGTTTTTCCTCAACAACTCTAAACGTAAACAAGATACTTTTGACCACTTCTATGTGTATCTACCAATTCACTTCCTTATGTGGAGTTAGATAGATGCTAGTCGTTCGATGTATCAAAAACCATTATCCCTCCTAACTACGAAAAGGTAACAGTGAAGAGTGGAACTTCAAACACAGATTACAGTGAGAGTGAATCTTGTAACGAAGATTACGGTTAGGACGAAAACTGTAACGAACATTATGTGAACAGCATTCATTTGTAGTGCTGAAGAGCAGCGATCTGATTGGTTGTTTGGTCGTCCAAGATCATTTGACTATATGGTATCTAATTCTGCATACTGTTGCCAGTACTAAATTGGCAAAGGTACAGAAAATTTACAACTTACGCTATCTCTAGAGTAAACGTATTATCAGACTATCGACCAGAAGGCGTATATACTGCGTTCTATCTACATTACGTGTTAGGTTAGATGGTAGGTGTAATAGGGTGAGCAATATTGAATTAATGAGGCATCGGTTGAGTGCTAGCTAGATGAAGAGTGAAAATCAAAAGACGAGGGTGTAAAGCGACTACATTGATTGAGTGAGATGGTTACGAGGTGTGTTAACTCATCCTTGCCTATCCCTTGATTGCCTTCCCCAATTGCAGGTCAATGTTAGCTTAGTTGACATATGAGAGATAGATGAGGTTGGAAAAGAGTTAGCTAGCTATCACGTGGTGGTGGTCAAACGAAAAAAACATGACTGACTTTATCAGTCAGCGGAATTCATAACAACAACTAGTTAGTTTAAGCCAGCCACGTACGGAGGTGCTGACTGGTTGGCTAGGTTTTTCGGAATGATGGTGAGCCCCAACAAAAGATGGAGAAAAGTTGTGATATGGCTGGATCATAAAAATCGTCCTCATTACCAATTTCACAGACCAGCATTCTTGTAACAAAAGCGAAAGATGTATTTATTTAATACATGTGACAATAAAACAACAATAATAAAAACAACAACCTGAACATGAACTGTATACACATAATAGTGGGATTTAACAAGCACAGATATAACAATTATATAACAGTACACTATATATCCATATAAGAACACTGAATTACATACAATTTCTCTACTCAAGGGATTGACTCTTGAAGAAGTAAAAAAAAGGTTGAATATTAAGAGTATCTCTAAAATATGGCGATGATAATGATGTTTCTGTTTTGTTTGTTTGTTGTTGTTGTTTTTTTTTTGAAATATTTTTGCATCATCTGTGTACACAATTCATCAAAGCTGCTATATGGAAGGGCAAAACCAAAACAGAAGAAATTCTTAAAAAGTAGGAAAAAAACAAATTCATCAGTGAAGAGTTTTGTTTTTCACACAGGATAGATGGGATCACAATGAAACGAATGGGGGAAACATCAGCAGCAACAGCATCATGAAGAGGAAACAAGTACAAGAAGGTGGGCATACACGGCGCACATACACACACACAAAAGAAAGCTTACTTGGTGATGGTGGTATTTACATACCTCTACGTAGGATCATCTCACAGTTAACAAAGGATTACAAAAAGGAAGATTCTGTTTCCCTATTATTATTAATATTATTGTTATTAATATTATTATTATTAATATTGTTATTAATATTATTATTAATACTATTATTATTGTTACTGTTATTTGAAGGATTGAATACACTGTGAACGATTCACTTTGATTTATAATAATAAAAATACACAACAAGAACACCCAATAGCACATCCAATATACAAGTTTCAAGTGACTTTATATATATATATATAGGGAAAGTAGACATTTTACAGATTTTGTGCCACCAATTTTCCGGGAACACAGTTTATTATTTGAGGATGGAGGATTGATTGTGTGCAGCAATAACACCGAAACACACAGAGGCCTACAGAACGCACTGGTCTGGGAGTAATATATGTATATATATTTTAAAGTTGGAAATTTGATGAACAGCAGCAGAGCCAAACTAGTTTGTTGACCGAAGGTAAGGCGGACGGACGGATGGATGGACACAGTTGTGCATTTAACAGTAGTAAGTAGCAGTAATTGATTGAATGAATCGTTAACAAAACTGAAACCAATGAAAAGATAAGGAGAAAGACACATGATATAAAATATGACACAGAGTGTATGATGAATTAAACAAGCATTTATATATATATTCCCATTCAAGAATTTAAACAAAGCAAAAACAACATATGTTTGTACTGAGAATAATATTATAAGACAATGATAGGACTTTGGCCTTGTGGTATCAGAATTCCATACTAGATAAGCTACTAGATAATAGACTTAACAAGGTGAATATGCATGTTGTAACAGAAAGGACCAGCACATATTAATTAGTGAATAAATCCAACACAGACGACATAATTAGACGTTGAATGTTCAGTGATTTCGAAGTTTTATTTTGAATTATATCACCATTAATGTACAAGCAAGAGTATGGATATATATATATATATATATATATATTCAATTAGAGAGTCACTGATTGAACCAGTGCCTCCTCTTCGCAGTCGAGCTGGATAATGTTCGCTAAAACGCTTCGACAAGACCTGCATAGAACGACTAATGTACCTAGCTCTGTACGAGCAGCTGGACTGATTTATACACAGTGATATGGACAAAAGACGAAGTTTGTCCATCACCTTACTTGGAAGAATTGAGTGCCTAGAAAATAATATCATTACCATCAGAGTTGCTGCGCAGCAAGGTTATTCTCTTCCTTAGACTACCTGTACAGTTAAGTTTTCCCTCAACTGTTTCTATGTAGACTTATGTATATACAGGGGATTGTACAGTTGCTTTCAGGGATAAGCGGGTCGAAAAGACATTCCAGCTGTTGACCTCCGTCGTCCCGAGTGTGAGCGACACGTTAACAGGCGCTAAGATAATTTATTCCACGAAGCAATCATACAGCACTAACTATTAACTGGACGACATTCTGACCACAATTCATCGCTTATAATAATTATAATAACAATATTAATATAAATGATTTACAAGACTTTCTGCATAACTTTTCACATTTTCGGAAATCACGACATCAAATCGACCCTGGGTATATATGCATCTCACTCTTCATCGTGAGGCAGTCAAGGAAATCACTTTCACGATTTACATCATTATTACAAATCGCCTACTACTTACTTATTCATAACATTCTATTGATGACCACCGCCGCCAGTTATCTATCAACAATCAATGACCTACTTCCTTCCACCTCACTCACCGCCTAACTACCGTTGACCCTCTCCTCAATAGTACGTAACCCGACGACAACTTCAGCAACCCTCCCTCCCCCTCCACTCAGGAAAGCTTTGGCTAAACGTGCACATCACACATCCTACCAGAACACCAAAATAAGTCTATGCAGAGCCACTAACAAAATACTTCTCACTCACTTACACACCTACCCTCCTTCCCTCCATAACACACACACACACACTAAATTCAGTCTGCAACCCGGCCGATACCTTCGCTACCTTCCCGTGGTGGTCGAGCTTGCATACTGCAGTCAGCCAACAAGCTATACTGGTTGGGCGCAGGTGGACACTTATGCCCTTACAGGTCCTACTATACCATGAAGGTTGTATATTGGATAGCGGTTAGCCTTAAAAAGCAGTTACTACCACGGTGTGGGTACATGGGCTCCAGAATCCAAACACATCGGGTCGAATGACATACGAACACCTGTATTGGTCACCTGACGCTGCTGTCTTGTGGATCAGACTACACGTCAAAGCTCGCTCACGGGTGGTCCCTAAAGAAAATCACAGACTTTCGTCTGAACGCCCAGACAGGCAATATCCCAGCCCTCGCACTAACAATGAAACATCAAATAATGAGTCTTAAAAGTACCTACTTACCGCTTCCATCTATAAATATTAACAACAGTGCATAGAAAACACTCATGGCCAGAAATTCGTCTTTCACCTTCCACAAACATGTCTACAATTATGAACTCTCTTCGACAGACAACAACTACATGCCTCATCATCAGCACAAAAGTTGATGCAAGGTTAGCAAACCCAACATTTATTCCTTTTCCATGTCTGTGCTTAGGCATATTTTCCACCAGCAAGGACGTCTTGTTCCACTCCCCCTAATGTGATAAGAACTATCTAGCGCTAATTTCAGCATTCCACCCTAAATCTACATGACTCAACGAAACCCGAGATCTGTAGAATCATGAACTCACATTTTCGACGCCGCCGGAGTGTAGTGCGTACAAACAAATACGTACTACTATTTTATAACATATTCAGAAAACTCTTTTCGGTGTCTTCAAACTACTACAGATGAGATACGTGAATTTCTGAGATATCTGAGAGTTATTCAAGCAAAGTTCCACTCATCATCGATGCCTTTATAAGTAAAACCTGAAATCCACTGGTATTAATAAAGAAAGAATGAAAATATTTACAGCATAATACGAGCTCGAAACACCTGAAAAGAAACCAGTTTTTGTGTCTAGCATATAAAGTGGAAGAAGTATCCACAAGAACGGGAAACAGAATTAAAAGTGCATTGAAAAGAACATCTCCATCGCCAGACTCACTCCACTTTACAAGACAGTATGCTTCCTAACACAGTCAAAAGTAGGATGCTAATGTCAACACTAACCGCATTTGCCAATTCACTTGCACATTCGGCAAGAACCACACACGAAGGACTGAGAGCAAAAGAGCGTCTGCTAGATTTTCCGAGCATATTTCTAAAAGTAATTCCCCTATGAAAGGCAGAAAAGTGTTCTCAGGTGAAATCGCCAGACAACACCTAATTGACTGGCACAAGACATAAAGTGGAAATTACTCAGGCTCTCGAAATAATCAATACACAAAGAAAAGCATGGTTACTTCGGTTCACACAAGCCATCGCCATAAAAAGACTTCCACCCAACCTATGCATACAGAAAGACAGTGGGACTAATCTCTCACTACCTTGGTAACCATACTTGTCTTGTTCGTGTGCTTTCGTGTTTTATTCCCTTGCATAGCATTCCACTTGATTTCGATTTTGACTTTCACTTACTGAGTTGAACCTACTACCAGGTTTCCATGTGACTTATGATTTCCAATGAAACTATATTGTTCTTCATTATTACTATTCCTTTGTCTCACACCTCTGTTTACTGTCTCTATTATGCATTTCTTCTACCTTCTTCTCTTGCTTTGTGTGCTCATGGAGTGTGGCGACTTGAACTGTCGCACATCAGTGCAAAGTTCTATGTCGAAAACAGACAGACAGACCAAGTTTCCAAATCTACTAAATTATTTTCTCTGTCTTGTAATTTTACTTCACTTTACTAATCACTTCCACCCTCATGCACTCTCCATCATAATGTGCATAAATTCACTTTGTTGATCTACCTTGTCTTTAGCCCATCCTTGTGTTTTCACGCGGAATCTGAACTACACTGCCTTATCTAATCACTATATAAATGGTTACTCATTTTAACACTGAATAATTCGTCTACTTACATCATCTTATAAAAGCGTTGCCTATACTTTCTATCTGTATCTTGAAGTCATTGTAATAACAGCACACACAGTGATGGTGCAGTATTAAAAACTTGATGATGACAAGCTTTCGCACAGAAATTATTGCTACTCATAATCATATCAATTTAGTCACACGATTTCCTAATTCACTTGTGAGTTAGAAGATGAATAACGTAAATTGGCCTTGTTAAACTATAGAATAAAACGAAAACAAGATGGTGGGCTAAGATACTGGCACTTATAGAAGACCGACACTCTAATAAATACTTCAAAGACTCTAATTCATCCCAACCAAAATCGGTAAAGGGAGATTGGTTCAGTTAAATATATCCACATAATCGTAATAGAGGTCTGTCTAACTAGTAAATCAGAAGATTTAAATAATGGAATCCAACTAATTAAGAAAATATTAGTGACGAATAACTACCCGCCAGAATTCGCTCAGAAGTGTATTAAGAACCATAGAATCAAATATGATTGGGAATGGGAATGACAAAAATAATATAGAATACAAAGCCTCTGTAACACTGCGGGATAAAGAAAGTACATCAGAGACCTTAAGTAGGATTCTCAATGATGCTGAAATTAGTTGGGTTGCCGTTTAAATGATATGTATCCACATATATATATTTATGTGTGTGTGTATGTTGGTCTCTCTTTCTATTTGCTCGCTTAGTCTGTGACCATTTCACTTGTGTGAACTTGTATCCTTTAATAATGTATATTCTCCTTATATTATATTATATATAATATGAGTGTATGTTGACAGTCCGTTGCTTGGTGACATATATCCATATTATATGTGGGGTTGTTGACATGTCTGCTATATTCGCTATGTTTATTTGGATCGACACTCCATTATAATTAGCCATTCATGTTAAGACTGTCTAATGATTTTTTCCCACGCCTTGTCTGGAACATTCATATATATTTCGCATTCACAATCTTGTGACTTTACTTACTTACCACTTTGGTGTGAGACCATTTATTTTCGTCTCCTTGTGTTTGGAAAATAGAAGTATCATCGCAAACCTAGTGGTCTTCTGATTTCCGCCTTCTCGCGTCAGGACTATTAATTTCTCGACCAGACCATAACATTAAACCAACCAACCCACCAACTCGCTCAAAGATTAATTTTGTCGGTTTATAGAGAAATACAAATTATGAAGCCGTCTGGCTAAACTGATATGATTATGAGCAGCAATAATTTATGCTTGAAACCTTGTCATTATTCAGTAGTTAACACTGCATCATCACCGTGCGTAATTTGAAATAAACTTATCTAACATGGGATTAAAAATTCTACCACAGTCCCCAAGTTCTACACTTACGTTAATGAGTCATTTCGTAGTGGTGAGCTGAGAAAGCCTGCCATTTAGCTGTCACAATATGATAATATTTTATATGAAAATATGATTTGAATTAAATACAAAAGTTTTTCAATCCCTTAGGAAGCTTACAGTACAACTGAAGATAAACCCCACACAAAAAATGCTAAATAAATATTGTGATTAGTTACCTTCCATCGATGTCCACAATTGTTACAATAAACAAACGTTGTCATTGGTTCATCAGCGCTACGCGTTTGGACCTGTAAGAGAAAGGCAGGATAAGAAGCATGAACACTTAAACAACAAATATATGTATTATATCATTGGGAAGAGTAAAAGGCAAATTGATTAGACACAAAACTTCAGGAAATACAACTAATAAGTTAGGATTTCAACATGAACTGGTGATATCGGTTAGAAGAGAACCATTGGTAAAACAGCTGGGAATACTGCCAGACAGCTGTTTCGTCCACCTAGTTCTTGGGACTTCGCTTCAGCAGTACGCATCTTTCCACCACCAGGATTAGAACCCACGACCACCTTCCTGTTATACAAGGCGAGCGAGCTCGTAGAACATCTATCAGCCACTTGGAACCAACTTCTCAATGGTCAGCTAATGAATTCCAACTTTTGCTAATTCATGCACGATATAGCGCTTCACCTGGAAACAGCCAGTATCATTGACGGTGAATATTAGTCCTCGCATCCGATCACCACATGCTGTACCCCACGACTTATGTCCACTACTCCCACATTTAATGACTATTAGTGATGCATAAATTAAATTGAAGCCCTGTATTAATGAAATAACTAACCTGATTATATGTACACTTTGTCTGTTTACACTTTCCACATCGTAGTAAATCAGTTTCAGTCCCACCAGTCACAGCCATTTGATGATCTTCTATCGTCTCCTTGGTGTATTTTTCACGGAGTTCTTTCATTTCCTTACTTGCCATTTCCTTATACAAACCAGAAAAAAGATCGAATTTTACACATACATCAGTATAAAAAATCAACAATAATTCAAACAAGACATATATAAGTGAAAAATATTGTTGTTTTCAATTACATCTTTTCCTTTAGGCATTTCGCCTTGACTATTTTGGTTTGCCCAAAGTACATAAACCAGGAATTCGTCTTCATCCAATCCTAGACATCTTTAATTCTACCTATCCACTCATAGTTTCAAACTTTACCAAATTATTATGTCCACTAGACCACTTGGGCCACTCAGGTCGAGCACTTCTATCATCCAATCAATCAACGGGAAAGTTCGAATGGTTGAATTAAATTATTACTAATACCCATTGCACAAGACATGAGGTGGATTACATCATGAACCCGAGTGGTCTAGCGGACATAACACTGTGGAGGAGTTTGGAACTACTGGAGGGTAGTGGGCCCCAGCCTCAGTGGGAGGAACACCACTACTCACTGACTCATTGCAGGTACATTCAGCTAGCTGGCAACTAGTCCCAAATAGGAGGGTGAACTGCGCATCCTGGACTGCATCCACTGTAGGTCAGTCACGATCTATCAATATACTTCACAGTACACATTATTGTTATTGAATAACCTTGGCAATCTATTACATCAGAAGGAAAGAAAAAGGAAAAAAACCAGTACATATTTCAGGTTGTATAAATGCTGAAATTGTAGTCAAAAGATTGTGCCGCCAGAGTATCATAATCACAATAAAAAGATTATCGTGATGAGAATGGATTTACTCATTAAACAAAACATTCATAAATGTGTTAAACAGCCTATAAGACCATGATCTCAAATCAAAATTTGGTTAAATAAACTTAACCACCAAAACGAAACTGCCACCTAGTGAACGAACGGATTAATGACACCTTGAGGAACCACCAATTAGAAGAGTCCATAGTATACAGTCGCGGAATTACGCAAGCTGTTCTGGAATCACTTAGTAAATTTCATCCAAATCTAGTATTTAACTACAACTTTTTAGACAACAGGGTCATTTGAAGGGAGTAAACGTATAGCCAGCTGTCATCTCTGGTTCATATGCATCACAACGTGGTTAATCATACGGACAACTTCGTTAATTATTTCGATGGGACTCATCACAAATTCCATACAAAGCCTCTAGAGTCACCTAGAAAACAGAATAACAGCGGTGAATGGGTAGGTCAAGAAACATAATGACTCATAGTTATTTATGTGCGAAATTTCGTTTAACTTAACTGTGAACACTCCTGTGAGGAGAAATTGGGAGGTATTCTTTCGACATACATACAAGTTATCCTACGTTGTAACTTATTTTTAACATTCCTTTATTTTAAATAAACGTTTTTCACATTACGCACTTTTACCTTAGGGGTATATGACTAGTAAATCGATGAAAAGATTTGTCAAGGTCTTTATTAGGTAGTTTCGTTTTGGACTTTGTAGCTTAGAGTAACCCAGAATTCATTCATGGAACAGTTCCAACCCCACCCCTTCTACTACATTTTCCCAGCATATTTCTAAAAGTAATTCCCCTATGAAAGGCAGAAAAGTGTTCTCAGGTGAAATCGCCAGACAACACCTAATTGACTGGCACAAGACATAAAGTGGAAATTACTCAGGCTCTCGAAATAATCAATACACAAAGAAAAGCATGGTTACTTCGGTTCACACAAGCCATCGCCATAAAAAGACTTCCACCCAACCTATGCATACAGAAAGACAGTGGGACTAATCTCTCACTACCTTGGTAACCATACTTGTCTTGTTCGTGTGCTTTCGTGTTTTATTCCCTTGCATAGCATTCCACTTGATTTCGATTTTGACTTTCACTTACTGAGTTGAACCTACTACCAGGTTTCCATGTGACTTATGATTTCCAATGAAACTATATTGTTCTTCGTTATTACTATTCCTTTGTCTCACACCTCTGTTTACTGTCTCTATTATGCATTTCTTCTACCTTCTTCTCTTGCTTTGTGTGCTCATGGAGTGTGGCGACTTGAACTGTCGCACATCAGTGCAAAGTTCTATGTCGAAAACAGACAGACAGACCAAGTTTCCAAATCTACTAAATTATTTTCTCTGTCTTTTAATTTTACTTCACTTTACTAATCACTTCCACCCTCATGCACTCTCCATCATAATGTGCATAAATTCACTTTGTTGATCTACCTTGTATCTTGTCTTTAGCCCATCCTTGTGTTTTCACGCGGAATCTGAACTACACTGCCTTATCTAATCACTATATAAATGGTTACTCATTTTAACACTGAATAATTCGTCTACTTACATCATCTTATAAAAGCGTTGCCTATACTTTCTATCTGTATCTTGAAGTCATTGTAAGATGTTTAAATAAATTTTGAAACTTCTAATTGGTGTATTCAGGATGTACACTAACCTGAAAAGATTCCACGAAATCATTCGAGCTCTTATCATCCTGCAGATATGCTTCCTGTTTCTTTATTTGAATTGATAAAAGGAAGTGACTGTATGTCTGTCTGTTTTCGACATAGAACTTTGCACTGATGTGCGACAGTTCAAGTCGCCACACTCCATGAGCACACAAAGCAAGAGAAGAAGGTAGAAGAAATGCATAATGTAGACAGTAAGCAGAGATGTGAGACAGCGGAGGAGTAATAAGGAAGAACAAAACAGTTTCATTGGAAATCATAAGTCATATAGAGTGGATGATTCTGCGACACTGAGAACGTTTTAGAGCCATATCACCAATTTAGAACAACACATTTAAGCGAACAATATTGTTTTCAATTAGATCTCATCAGGCTTAACTCTAATATATATAAGTTTACAAATAAAAATTCAAATATAAACCAATCATGGTGTTTTGTCTATAGGATAATACGATGGTGAATATAAATTGTGCAGTTAGTCATAATAGTGGTAATGATAATATTAATAATAATAATAATAATAATAATGGTCTTATCAATAATAAGGATGAAAAAATGAGGCAATCTGTGATAACACGAATAATGAAAAACAGTATGATTAAACAAACAATTGTTCAGGTGGAAGTAGTCGATAAAGGCTAGTAAAAACAAATGAACCGATTACGTAATGTTAGATTGTAGGGGAAGGAAATGAAACACGTTTATAATGAATATAAGATAAGATTAAGGGATGATAAGAAAGGGGTTGGAAATATAAATAAAGGGTGGTGTAGAAGTCTTTCGTTGGTTATGTCTTATTAGGCCACGGGAGGGATAATGGCTGCACGAACTTCTTTTGAATGCATAGTTTAGGTTTAATAGTTCGAATGCCTATCGCCTCAGCTGTGTGCAGTAGACGAATACGAAGTCTATTAGAAAGATTCGGAGGGATACGATGAATTACTTTGAAGGCTTTCGTTTTATCGACTACATGACCACTATCAATTAGATGTGACAGAATTGAGCTTCGGATTGTTTTTGTCTGTCCTTTGCCAAACCACGATGGGAGATGTTCACTAACACGTTGGCTAAGCTGTCTAGTAGTACGCCCAATATAACTGTCACCGCAGGTGCAGTTGAATTGATAAATACACATAGATGTGGCAAAACTATCAAGCTTATCCTTCGTTTGCGTCCCAATCATTCGTCGGCTAGAGAATGACAAACATAGGTGTGCTGCGTAAAATGTTCTACGTATGCTCCTTGAAAGTCTTTGGAATAGAATCTCACTAGATAAGTCCCCATTAAATTGTAACTTAATAAATAGAGGTTTCTTATGTGCAGTCAGAGTCACAGGTTTCTTCTCTGATGGTTTCATATGTTTCTTTATGAAACTACTCGGATAACCCATCTCCGTCAAGGAATCGTGAATATATTCAAATTCCTTTTGTAAGAGGTCCTCCGTACATATCTTCCTTGCTCTGCTCGCGAGACATTTTACAAGATTCCTTTTATATTTAATGGGCACGTAACTAAGGAAGTGTGTGTACTGCCCTGTGAATGTGCTTTTTCTGTACACACTTCTCCCAAGTGACCCATCTTCTCTCCTACTTAGCAAGACATCCAGGAAATGTAGTTTATTCTCCTGCTCCTCTTCACAAGTAAAGGTAAGCGAAGGGTGGATGTTGTTGAATTTAAGTAACAATTCGTCTGTGTTAACCTTCTCATCAGCTAAGATAAATGTATCATCGACATATCGGTAATACATATCCAACTCCTTGATGGTATCCTTCAATTTCCCGTTTTCAAGTTTTGCGAGAAAGAAGTCAGCTAATATTGGGCCTAATGGTGAACCCATAGCTATTCCATCTACTTGTCGATAGTATGAATTATTGAAGACGAAGTGAACATTCATTGTGCATTTAAGAAGTAATTCTTTGAGGCTACACAAGGGGATTCCTAAGTCTAATTGCCTATCGGTGATTTCTTGACAAATATAATCCACTGTTTCCAAAAGCGGTACGTTAGTGAATAGTGATGATACATCCATGGATAACATGCGTTTACACCTCACATTAGTCTCGGATATTTTAGAAATAAAGTCGAAAACATCACTAATTCTATGTTGCACAATTTCTCTGTGCAAAGGACCCAGGATCTTAACTAACCACTTCGCTGTTCCGTGAAATGGAGAGTTATACATATCTAAAACAGGGCGAAGAGGAAGACCCGGTTTGTGCACTTTTGGTAGACCGTAAAGACGTGGAGTATTGGTACCCGTAGGTTTCATGGACTCATACGTGGTTGATGATAATACTCCTATTTGGTTCAGTTTTTTGAGGGAGTCAGTCATTTGTTTCTCAGCTCTTACATTGAGGTCTTTGGAAACACCAAGCGATTGGAATTTAGTTTGATCACTCAAAATACCTTCCATTTTCTCAACATAATCGCTTTTGTCCAGTAAAACTATACCATCACCTTTATCCGGCTTGCTAATGATTAAACTTTCGTTGCTTCTAAGTTCTCTTAGAGCTTCTCTGTGTTGTTTAGATAAAAGACTATTTACTGAATGTTTATTATTCTTGTATTGCTGGCAGCTGTCCACTAGCGTCGTTTTGAACCTAGTTAGTTCATCGTCCGACGATGGCGTAAGATCTGACGTTTGAGAATACAAATTTTCAAACTGTATATCAGTGTCTAATTGATCAACTTTAGGAGCATAATCACTAAATTTGGGACCTAGGGATAACACCTCTAATTGAAACTTATTAAGCACGATACTGGAAAAATTACTTACTTACTTTACTTTACTTCGGCTATCTCCTACGGGAGGATGAGCCGGCATTCATGAACGTTTCGAATCATCGCTGCCCAGGCGCGGCAATTTGTAAGAGAGTTCATGAAGTTTCATGGGAATTTGGTACGAGTGATGCCCCCAGAATCGCTCGGCCTTTTGTTTGAGAGTGCAGCTCTAGCCTTTACACAACCAAGTGTGACCTACAAGGCAGTAGGAGTGGAGTAAGGAGTCCACTATCCATTGGCAGCCGATGACAGGAGTTCGGTTCATACGCCTTTTTGAATGGGGCCAGACATCCAGGACATCCAACAAGCCCTTTGTCCATACGTCTGCCGGTGAGCTCCAGTGAGCTTCATACGCCAATCGTTGGAGGTTTGGAATCAGGGTTTAGCCATCTCCCCTAGACTGTCATCCAATGGACAGTCAACCCGGTGGAGAGCGCCAGGAATCCGCTTTCGCCCTCAACTTGGTGAGAAACACCTCCGCCACGTGAAGGCAGTGAGTAGGACTTCCTCAGGAGAGGCTATGTAAGACGCCCGGTCATATGGGAGCATTTCAAGAGGTGTGCGGAGGGGTGGCCAACCCGCAGCGCAAGGCACCCACCCCCGACCATCCTGAGGCTTTGGAGGCCTGGAAATTGTGAACATACCGGCCCGGATCTGACGGAAATTTCCTTTCAAGCTTTTGGCTTTCGAGAGATTTGACAAGACTAATCCTTTTATTATTACTTCTGTTTACTGTTACGTTATTAACATATTCAATGAACATCAATTGTAATTCCTGAGGTAAATCATCAACTGAAAATTGTCTTTGTGATATATTCCTTTCTAGATCATTTATAAGAGTTTTAACAGAATCAATCTGATTAAGAGCATGTCTTTTTAAATTCTTAGAATTAGGATAAATCCTCATTCGTCTTAACGACCTCCAATATAGTTTGGGATAACGTTCGGTTTCTACACATTCTTTGAAAAATTCCAACGATGTTTTCGCTTCAGCGAGCCTTGCACTAAATTTCAGGTACTCATTGAGTGCCTTAAATGCAATAGGATCCCCGCGAAATTTCAATATATTAAATATTCCCATAGTAAAATTTAGAACAACACATTTAAGCGAACAAGAAATCACCGATAGGCAATTAGACTTAGGAATCCCCTTGTGTAGCCTCAAAGAATTACTTCTTAAATGCACAATGAATGTTCACTTCGTCTTCAATGATTCATACTATCGACAAGTACAGCTGGTTTTATATGAGGACGGAGCGGACTGATGAGCAGTGCACCCGCCCTTTGGTCGATAGTCGGATATCACGTCTACGCCAGAGACGGTGTAAACTGGCATATGCGAAACTACCCCTCTGTATCCGTGCTGAGATTTCGTCTGAGATCAACCCGTTGGCACTGGGTGATGGTACTTCCCAAATAAGTGAAGCGGTCAACCTGCTCTACCACTTCACTATTTCTAATCTAGGAGTCGGAGTAGTCCAGTCCTGTAACATCACCTTGCATTTGGAGGGAGCGAATCACATGCCAAACATTCGTAGATTGCAGCTCAAGGAATTTAGAAGACTCTGTATTTTGCCAGCGTCCTCGTCTAGAAGGACTATATCGTCTGCATATTCTAAGTCAACGAGATTATACCCTGGTAACAAGTCAATTCCTGCCTGTTTCGCTGAAGTGAGTTAGAGTTAAGTCCATTAGTACATCTGTGATGAAGTTGAACAGAAATGGGGATAATGGGCATCCTTGACGGACACCACTAGGCATCACCACTTCAGAGGACAACTCGCCGTAAACCCTCACCTGTGTGCATGAGTACGAGTAGAGTGCCTTAGTGCAATGTATTTTCTCGGAATTCCCTTTATAGCCAAGCATCGCCAGAGAACCTCTCGGTCGACAGAATCGAATTCCGCCTTTAGGTCAAGAAATATAATGACTGTTGGACGCCGGTAGGAATGCCTATGTTCTAGAATCTGTCGGAGAGTGAAGATATGATCAATATACCCTCTTCCTGGTCTAAAGCCTGCCTGGCTCTCTCGTGTTTGTGCCTCCCGAGCACCACTCAGTCTACGCATGATTATTGAGCCTAGGACTTTGGATACTATATTAGTCAAGCTAATCCCTCTGTGATTATCACAGGAAGACTTGTCTCCCTTCTTGTATATGGGGATAATCAGTGACTTACACCAACCCGATGGGACTTCTTCTGAATCCCAGACACTGCCTAGTACCTCAGTTAATGCAGACAGTAAACTGTCTCCACCGTACTTAAATACCTCTGAAGTCATTCCATCAGGTCCCGCTGCTTTGCCTAGTTTCAGATTGGTGACAGCTTTAGTAACCTCAGTTAGGGATGGAGGACCTGTGCCTATATCCCTTTCAGGGAGGTGTTGGATGTTCGGAAGGTTGAGCGTGGCTGTGGGCCAATTAAACTGCTCCTCGTAATGCTCTTTCCAGCGATCCAGTCGTCTATCCGGGGAGCTAATTATGGTGCCATTTTTCTCCGAGATTGTTTCACTTATGATTTGCCTTCTTCCACCCGTTTCTCTGGTGAGTCTAAAGAGTTGCCTAGTGTTGCCTATCGCCGATGCTTTTTCCATCTCTTTCGCCTTTGTCACCTACCACTGTTCACAGTCCTTGCGAAAAAGCACATCCTCTTTGTTTACCTCGGCCTACTATTAAGTTACAGGAACATAATCAGCCATATTCCCATGTCAGATTATGCTTTTCATATCCATTTTCACCTGGTTTTCTTTTACTCCATTATTATTCTTATTATGTGTCAACATTTGTAACTTGCACTAAGTTTATCATCTCTCTAGCATTTTATTAAAGTTCACAATTTAACCCCTATTTTATCAGAACACTCGAAGGCACTTCTTCCGTCCACTTGGTAACCAATATCACCAATCAAATGAGACAAAACTGAATCTCTCATAGATTTTACTTGGCCTTTTACAAAGGATGATGCATAGTAATGATGCATTTGCTTAGCTATCTTAATTGAGTCTTCCCTATGCAGCTTCCTCCTCAGGATCAGCTAAATTTTTAAATACACATGCAAGTGGTACACAACTAGACACAGTTTGTCTTCCTCTTGAGCAATCATATGACTGGTCGGCAGCTGGAAAATGACAAACAAAGGGTGGCAGCAGTTCAAGTCCCTTTTATAGCTCTCTCTCTCTCTCTCTCTCTCTCTAGGTATTCTTAGATGTAGGTCATTATTAGACACGTCCTAATTGAGTTGCCACTCATCAATATTGGTTAAATTTTTTTTATTTATACATAAAGTTATGCAAGTTAGTGTTAGGTTTGAAGAAGATCAAACTGGAAACAACAATACTGTTCGCTTACATGTCGTCCTTTTCTAATATCAACAATGAGAGTATTTAAAGATCTGACAACAATAATTGTCAGTCAGTATGATAACACACTTTGTAAATCTGTGCACACAAACATACTTTTCATTTCATGTACAATTAGGACTTTCCCACTGACTGATGATTGGACCGAAGTGTTTGGCCTTAGGTTGACATGTTGGCGGTTCCTTGCGCAGATGCGCCGGACGATCGATGTCTGATTATTTGACTACAAGTATATTGGTAGATTTTGACTGACTAGCAGTGGATGGAATCCAGGATGCGCATTTCACTCTCCTATTTGGGGCTAGTCAGACTGGTAGAAGTTAGTCTGCACCAAAAAGGACTACATACACATTACACTAGTTCGACTTACTTTTAAGTGCTACAACTATTACTATTCAATCCAATCAGCAACAACACAGTCGTCTTAGGATCATAAAAAACGAAAAAGCGACTTCAACTTACTTCTGACGTCATAGACGCTAGTTTTTCCGGACTAACATGTCCCATCAAGACATTGAGTCGTAGGTTTGGATTATTGGAATCTCGGAGATTCATCACTCTGGTGCGCACACGTTGTTTGTATTTGGTATCAGTATTATTAAACAGATCATAGATAGAAGTTTCTATACGAATCGCCAAATATTCACATTCGTAAGCACCACTAGGAATATCTAGGAGAAAAAAATGAGTGAAATTAATTAATTCATGAATCTAGTCATTTTGCTCTTACTTCCACTCTCCAGGGCTGATTGAATCATCCCTCTAGCTTTAAGACGTATTTGATCATTTGTAGTTAACGAGTGAACGGGGAAGAAGCCACGACTTGCATTGACGACTGATGGTTGTTCAACAGTTGAGTCTTTTTTGTTATGCTCACCACTTATCCGTGACCGTTTAGCATCATGAGGAGCTGAATCGTCAGAAGGAATGCACGCTTTTAATTCAGAAGACTTGTCATTATTGTCATCACCATTATTATGATTATTATTATTGCTTGTAGTATTCGGGCATGGGATAGATGCATCGCCTTTATCTAAATAAACAAGAACAAAAAGTTTAGTGGATATAGATAACCAAACATACGCCAGGTATTTTCAAGTGTTAAAAAAAGGACTAATACGTTAAAATACAAGTGACATATTTTTCAGTTCTAGAGAAGATAACCCTAGACACAAACTGAAAGGCAAATTACGGTTAGATAAACAGAGAAGTGTACTGTCTGACTAGTTTCAACATAGAACTTTGCACAGATGTGCAGCAGTTTAACTCGCCGCTTTCCCTCCGTGGACCACACAAAGCAAGAGAACAGAGTAAAGAGACATTCATTCAAAAGACAGATAATAAACACAAGTGGGAGGGAGAGAGGCAGAATAGTAATATGATAGTGGAAGAACAATAGACTTTTATTGGATTCGATGACAAACCACAAAGCGAACGCATCTTTGTCATCACTGATAATGATAATTTTGAGCTATATCAACACCACTTGTCTCCAGCCTTCATCGCTTCTTATCATCATTCCGAGGACCCCAGCCAACCAGTCAACACCTCCCTAAGTGGCTGGCTCAAACTAACTAGTTAATGTTATGAATTCCGTTGACTGATGAAGCCAGTCATGTTTTCTTTTGACCACTACCACGTGATAGCTAGCTAACTCTTTTCCAACCCCATCTATCTCTCATATGTCAGCTAAGCTAACATTGACCTGCAACTGGGGAAGGCAATCAAGAGATAGGCAGGTATGAGTAACACACTCCCTAACCATCTCACTCAGCCTGTTACTGTTTCGCAACCTCGTCAACAGATTGATTTTCCCTTCTCATCTAGCTAGCACTCAACCGACGCCTCACTAACTCAATATTGTTCACCCTGTCACACCTACCATCTAACCTAACACGGGATGTAGATAGAAAACAGACACCTATGTTGGAAGACAGCCAGCCGGCCTTTTCATGTCTCCCACTCTCACCAATGGCTATGTCTCAGTCACAACTAGCCGAGTATCACACGTACCAAGACAGAGATGGGGTAAGTTATTTTAAGCTTTAGAAGCGAAATTTTTCGTGTTTGGCATGCGTTGCATACTTGTTCATGAGGTGTAGGTTACCTGTGTGTGTGTGGCTATTGTTATGTTAAGAATCACTAATAGACAAATCTTCGCAACTGTTCACAGCCGTTTCCACTGACTGAAATGTTGTTTTTCGGTTTTTTTTAATAACAATGGTCGTAAGATCTCCGTTTTAGTCTGATTCATGTTTGTCTATCATCCTAAGTTAATAATTCTTTACAGTTTTGGATGAATGTACGTTTTGGCAGATTAACGTGCTTTTCAGTCAACTGGTTACCAGTTAGTGGAAGAGAGCTAGCACATGGTGGTCAAACCGAAACATTGCTTCTTCAGTCAATGAAGGTAGGTGTAGACTGCTAGTGTGTCTGGTTGGAGTACTCGGGATGACTGTTAGAAGTAATGAAGGCTTGAGACACTTGATGGCGCAGATGTATTCACTCTTTGTGATTCGTCACCATATCCAATAAAAGTCTATTGTTCTTCAACATTATTACACCTTTTCCCTTATACTTGTGTTAATTATCTATCTTTTTATTCACTTCCCTTGATTTATGTCACATGGGGAGTCGTAACTCGAACTGCTGCACAAAATTCCACGTTGAAAAAAGCCAGTCCAGAAGAATGTAGTTTGTCCGCGTCTTCATACCACAGATCCGCTAATTGCATTTACTTTGACACAATTAAAATTTAGAGGTATAGAATTAAGCAAAGTTAAGGCCAACAATGCAACTATGGAGAAATTAAATCATGAGTTACATACACTGCTATTAATCTTTGTGTCTTTTTAACATGCGTTGGATCATTCAAGCGTTGGTTACAGGATTTCATCATGAACTGACATCGGTTAAGGAATCAATGTAAAACCTGGGAGCACCAGAATATACTGGGAAGTCGTGACCAGTGGGGTACAGCAGGCCGGGTGTAAGGAAAAATACTCACCACCGATGACGCTGGCTAGTGGTCGAGGTCTAAATCGTGAGTTGGTAGAAGTTGGAATTCATAGGCTGCCCACTGCACTATTTAGATCCCAATGACTGGATGGTCTACGAGCTCTTCTCGTAACCGGGAGCTCCTGGATTCGAACCATAATGGTGGGTGCACACTGAGGAAAAGTAGCAAGTTAGGACAAAACAGCAGTCCAGTATTGGTTTTCCAATGGTTCTCTGACCGGTATTACGTCATGATGAAATCACGCACTGAATTACTTGTGTCGAGGAATGTATTTAACCGATAGTACAGTGTAATAACTAGGGACCCAACAGACGACTGAATCTAAATGAGAGTTAATCTGCATATGCATCCTAAGCACATAAAGCAATAGTGACTGAAAAACTGCGCGGTTCATTAACTCCTAGCTTTTAAGTGAAGTCTACCAACTGATGCATTTATACTAGTGTTAGAGTCCCAAATAAAAATTCCTGGGGTAGTCCCGGCGATTTTTGGTGCAAATCAACGCAAGAATTTTCCGGAAGTCAATCATTTTTCCCAAAGATAAAAAACCACAACTTCCCAGAAACCCCAAAATTCATTTCGGCAGACTCCTATCTACACAAACTAATTCTTCATGAGATAAATACGCATTCAGGTTTTCTACCATCTGTAGCACTGACTTTCGGTGCAGGGCAGATATGATGGGACACATCAGGGCAAACCTTCAACGCCCTGGAGACAATTCGGGTCGTCTATCGAAGACACTACGAGGCAAACTTCAGGCTCACTGCAAACAACTGTCCCACTTTGCCCAATGCGCCCTGAAATTTCGCCCCGAAATGTTTACAGTGGACCTAGAGAAACTACTGGCTGGGAGGACGCTAACAGATTTTGGTGAACACCACCTACCTGGAACCAACTTTTTCCATTGTTTAATAATATTTTTGCCAAGTGTAGCAACTTCTGGATCGTCAGAAGCTTTCCTAACTTTATTGATAATAATACCAACACCAGTTTTAGTTAAAATATCCAGTGTCATTTCGATGCTTCGAAGTCGTCGAAGATACTTTAACGCAGATTCATCGTCCTGAGGAAGTAAATTAACCACTTTGAAATGCGAATTACTATCTTTTTATTTTTCAGCATTCTATCAAGTCGTCGAGCAACATGCTCAGTTTCCTCCATCCTCCTGACCTCACAATTAAATGGAGCGCTGGCAAAATGCCGCGCTAGAACAATGCTTCCAATATCCAGCAATTTTTCCCGAACTGCTATTAACCTTGAAAGTTCCTGTTATTAATTTTTTTTCGTTTCCAAATGGTTCTAGGCTTTTTAGGAAGCTTGTAGATGCCCGTACTTTCGTGTGCCCGCGAGTAACAAGACAACGTGATTTATTCGCATGTGAGTGTACAGTTATTAATTCAGTTGCAGCAATTACAAACACCACTTATCTAGATGCTTGATGAAGTTCGCATTTCTCATGATGCTTCGATGAACCTACTAGATACTGAACAACGATAAATTGCGAAGCCCCTTAAGTTTATTATTTTATTATTTCTCTTAATTCCTAGAGGAACATAGGGCTTCGACTGCACGTCTCCATTGCGTTCGGTTCTCTGCTCAAGTTTTTACCTGGCTCCAAGTCTTCCCGCACGCTTTCACCTCCTCCTCACAGGACCTCCTCCAAGTCACCCTTGCACTGACGACCAACTCGTTGCTTCCCTTTCGGGTTCCACTCGAGCAATGGCTTGTCTAGTGATGTCACTTGATGGTTTCCTCAGCGTATGGCCAATCTATCTCCATTTCTTCCTGCCTATTTGTTTCACAATTGGTTTCTGGTTGGTTTGCTCCCAGAGATCCCTGTTGCCGTTCTTTTCTGGTCATCTGATCTTGGGTATTGAGCGAAGACAGATGTTGATGAAGGTCTGTAGTTTCTTCGAAGTGCTCTTCATGATGAGCCAAGTCTCTAATGCGTATAATATCAATGCCTTCATATTGGAGTTGAAAATCCGGATCTTATTTTTGATGCTAAGTGCTGTTGACCTCCACACAGACTTAAGGGTAATGAAACCCTGTCTTGCTTTTCCGATCCTTTCTTTGATATCTTCGTCAGTTCCGCCTGTAGTTGAAACGACGCTTCCCGTGTAGGTAAAGGAGGTTGTTTCTTTCAGGATCATCCCATTTATGCTGATTGTTACCTGTTGTTGTTGCTGTTGTCGTTGGCCAGGAATCTTAATCACCTCTTTTTTCTCCACGTTCACCTGAAGTCCTATCTTCTCTGCGTGCTTCTTCTTCTTCCAACTTGTTGCCTTTCACTTGCATATCTTGCAGTTTGTGGGAAATCAGACACATCATCGGTGAAGTCCAGATCCTCCAAGATTTTTGTGAGGGTCCATTTTATGCTTGTTTTCTCGCTACCCGCCCCGCTGTCTGTCGCATTATCCAATCTACTGCAATCAGGAAAATCATTGGTGATAGTAGGCAGCCAGCTTGTCTTACTCCCGTCCTCACTTCAAAGGATTTCGTAAGTTTCCCGTTGTGGATTACTTGGCAAGCAACATTATCGTACAACTGATGGATGAGATGTATAATTATCGGCGGCACCCCGCAGTAGCAAAGTAGTTGCCGAACCACCTCTCGATCGACTCTGTCGAATGCCTTTTCAAAGTCGATGAAGTCGAGATAGAGAGGTGACTGCAATTCTAAGCCTTATTAAATGATGATCCGTAGTGTTGCGATTTGATCAATACATGAATTGTTTCTCCTGAATCCAGCTTGTTCCGGTCGGAGCTTTTCATCCAGGGTTTTATCGATTCTCTTCAAGATGATGCGGCTTAGTATTTTGCTTGGGATGGACAGGAGCATAATACCGCGCCAGTCTTTGCATTACCCTACGCCAATGTCCAGGTCTTACTACGCTGGATCTCACGCTGTCTCTGGAAGACTTTCATAAACAATTTGTAATAACCAACACGAAATACCAGAACACAGATTGGCGACTCGAGAATCCCTTTTTCTTACGCCAGGGTCTATGAATAAATGTTATAACAATAAATCACGACAATACTTCTGGTAGTTTTCTGTCTTCCACTGAACAGCGAACGATGAGACGATGACTGATTGATAGATGACTCCCTCGAAAAATATGGATGAGTTTGGTTTGAGCAAACAACCATGAATTGATCTCTCAATCTTCAACTATAATGAAAAGATATGTATACTAAATTACAATGTACATCGAATATAAGCACATATGTCCGACCCCATAAATTTTTTCTTTGCTCTCTGGTAATTTGTTACTCGCCTCTTCTCTTGTGTTTGCCTTGTAGTAGAAGCTGCATTGATGTACATCCAAACTGAAGGTGGGAAACAATTGAAATCGCTTACTGATGTATCATCCTTCAAGGTTTGGCTAGTAATGACTCTGTCAATGGAACTGAACATTGAACGTTGGTTCATTGCCCTTGGTCGCCATTGGTGGGTAACTCGAAGGCGCGAATGGTTCGATCGACGAAGACGAGCGAAAACCAATAAAAGTACATAATAATTTTGTATGAAGCATTTGTTTATAGACTTGTATTATTCTCCGCTTTAATTACCAAACAATATAACTTCTTTCTTACAATAATGGTGTTTTGGAGTTAAAGTCGAATAAAGTACATAGTATTTATCGGTTCGGAGCGGCTTCGTGACAATAGGAGCTTAGGGCTAAGTTCCTTGACATAAGCTGTCAATGTAGTTGAAGATTGAGCGATCAATTCATGGTTGTTTGCTCAAACCAAACTCATCCATATTTTTCGAGGGAGTCATCAATCCAGCAGTCATCGTCTCATCGTTCGCTGTTCAGTGGAAGACAGAAAACTATCAGAAGTATTATCGTGATTTATTGTTATAACATTTATTCTTAGACCAGTTTTCACGGAGTGTTCACTAAAAAGAATGAGTTTTCACTGTGCAAGTTTGGTTACGCAGATGGCAAGAGCCTACCTGTGAAAATTGTATGTCCCTGTTTTCTGAAAATGATATTTTGTGAGCGACCTTAAAGAAGAATATTAGGTTTATAATAAGTCGTCTTGTCCAAAGTGGGTCAGGTTTTAGGATCATGCAGCGTGAGATGTGGCCTTTCTTTCAAACGTAGCCAAGTAGTTTGAACGTGAAATATCGTTGGATACTTTCCATCCTCAGCTTGTCACGTGTGTGAATGATGCTTGTAATAAATGGACAGTACTCTAGTAGTGGTCTGACATATGATTTGTACAGAAGTAGCTTGGCTTCATTGTCGTGGAAGTTCCTGAGTATGCATCCTGACAGCATCCTCGACTTTCGAGTTTGAGATGCCACTTGCCCAGACAATGTTAAGTCACTAGAGTACCTCAGGCCTAAGTCAACGAAACTTTGGAGTCTGGTTAGGTTATCAGATTGAAGCGTTAATTTCAAGTCAATTGAGGGTGCGCCGAAGCAGATCCAGCTATTTTAATCAGGTTAAACTGTAGATTCCATAAGGACGGCCAAGCAGTTACTTTATCTAATTACTTCTGCACTACATTCTCGAAGTATCCTAGGTTATCACATTGGAATGTATAAGCTGCTTTTAGGTCATCTGCAAAGATGAATGGTTCCCCGTGTGAAGGGCAAGCGTATATGTCATTGATGTAAAGTGTAAATAGGAGGGGTCCAATGACACTACCTTGTGCTACACCAGAAGTGATAGGGCTAGGTTTGGAGGTTACAGACCCGAGTTAAACAATTTGGGACCTGTTACTAAGGAATGTTCTAAGCCATCCTAATAATGGGTCACGTATTCCTAAGGAATTCAGTTTATGTATTAGCAGTAAATGTTCGATACGGTCAAATGCCTTAGAAATGTCAAAGTAGACGACGAGTACTAGTTGCCGTCTGTCACGACTGCTTGTCACAAAATCAAAGAAGTCTGGGTGACATTTTAAACATGATCTGGAATTTAGGAATCCATGTTGGTTCAGGCTTATAATGTTGCAGCTAAGCATGTTTGATTATGTTATCCTTAACTAGTCTCTCCATAATTCTAGGAACTAAAAGTGTGATATTGATCGGCCTGTAGAAAGTGACATCTGTTTTCGAGCCGGATTTGAGTTTAGGCATAATGAATGTTGTCTTCCATATATCAGGGTAAGTTTGGATTTCTAAACAGTAGTTGTCAATGCAGTTGAAGATTGAACGATCAATTCATGGTTGTTTGCTCAAAACCAACTTCCCCAATTTTCGCGGAGGCATCAATACGACAGTCATCGTCTCATCGGTCGCTGTTCATAAAGAAGTCAGCAGTAAACCGTCAGAAGAAATCTTGTGATTTATTATTGTAATATTTGTTCACAGACCTTAGTAGAAATATTTTTTATATGTTGGTGTTTCAATAAAGAATTCTCGAGTGGCCAATCGGTGTTTTGGTTTTGGCGTCCGTTATTACTAAGCGTTTCTGAGAAACTTCAAGGAACAGCGTGAGCCCGAGCGTAGCAAGAGCTGGGCATTAATGGTTTACGAGACGTGGCTGACAGCAGTAGAGGAATGTCAGGGCCACCGTATTTATAAAAATAAGATGATATACCGTTGTAACAACGGAAGACAAGGGCCAGGCAACAGATCGTTTTATTATGAAAATCAACACGTATTTATACATATTTCACATACATTATTATAGCTTATGCAAGTAAACAAGCCCAGTCATCTGACTGGTTGTTTATCAGAAGTTAGGCAGACAAACGCAGGCTTCTGATTGGTTGTTTCGGGATTCCTCGACAAATAGAGTTCTCTATCTGCGAATCATATTTTGCCACGTTAACTTTGCTGTGACTGGTTGTTGAATCAGCCTTGCTCATATTTTCTCACGGCCTGCTCTCACCACACTCGTCCCCCCGTCAAATGCGTGCGACTGAAGTCGGCTTGATCTACTTGGTGCAGGCGTCATCGTTGGCTTGTCTCGCTGTATCCATTTCTGGAGCTCTCTGACGTTCACGCGCCTCTCACTGTTCACCATTGCGATTGTGTCCGCGTAATCCCATCTCGAAGTGACCATATGTGATCCTTCCCACTTTGGAAACTGTTTGCCTGACCGTGTCGAACATTCGTCAGTATTTCGTCTCACACTTTCATATGCTGCTTTCACCCGACCACCCAGCAGCGTCCCAAGTAGCAGCCTAATCGCTGACAGATCTTGAACGCCACTCAACTGCGCAGAAGCCTTGAAGTCC